TCGTGCATGTCCATACACACCTCTCACTAAGAGGCAGCTTAAGGGAACAGTGAGTGTGTAAGAACAGGACTCAGCAGTCTAAACTACAAGCTGAAACACACTGCAGAGCTTTGAACGCGGCTGACTCACTGTCTGGCAACACCATTTCATCATTCTGCTGCAGGATTATCCCCCTGACTCCTGCGATTGGACTGATTCAGGTTGAGCATCACTGACATGATTGTATTTTCTTCTCGTGTCAGATTGATTTAAAACCTGTCTCGCTTCCTGTACGTGAAGTCAGAGCTGGTGTTGTGAAACGGAGGTTAAGTGCCCCGCCGTGCTTCAGCTTGTCTTAAACCGAGCAACAAAAAGGGTGTTGACCCACAGTTTAGTGTTACTGCCTTCAGAAGCTCTTTGTTCCAGCGTGACAGCCATTACTCTCCCTAACAGCTCCACCGAACGGGTGTAGCTTCCTGCTACTTCCTGGAAACGATGACTGCAGGCTGATAATTCAAAGCAGCGTTTTCCTTGTAATGACGATACAAACTTTGTTGAAATGAAGCTTAATTAATTAGCAGACGTTCTACGATGTTTGTCATTCTAGATTTCTGTTCAGCCAAGATAATTTGACTATTATCTTCATCTTTATTATGATCTTCAGGCTATAAAACGCTCCCTAAAGCTACACTAACTACTCAGCTCGGTTAAATATTTAAGCTCCTTTTATTTTTTGTTCACAGCTGACCTCATAAACTCGCTTTAAATGCTGCAGTCAAAGAAAATTTTCACTTTCAGCTGCAACCGGTAGAAACACGGGCTTTTCATAGTCTACACCAAAATTCATGCTGAATAATCCAGGTATAGAATCCAACAATGTTCAGTCTGGACGGTTTCTTTCTTTGCTGAGATGTTTCATCCTTCATCTAAAGGACTTCTTCAGTCTTCTTCAGCAAACTGTTTGTTTTTCCCACTATGGGCGTGTGTTGTTTGTGGGACTCAGTTTGCTTGGTGGCTCCTCAGATTGAAGAAGTCCTTTGGATGAAGGACGAAACGTCTCAGCAAAAAAAGAAACTGAGATGACCTGACCGAACATTGTTGGATTTGTACCTGGATTATTGAGCATGAACTTTGGTGTTTTGAACCACTTTGGCATGACTGCCTCAAAGGAGAGGGCGGGCCCCAGAGGCCATCTTAGCACCAGTGAACTGGTTTTTTTCCACTATGGGAGTGTGTTACTTTGAGACACAGTTTTCATAGCCCAGTTTTTCATTTAGATCTCAATGTCTCCTGCTGAATTATGCCACATTTAGTCTTTATTACCCAATTTATAGAATAATAAAAATGTACAAAATGTATCATGTTAAGTTTTTAGATAAAACAAACTGGAATCACAGCACTGCCTGAAACTGGTTCTGTAGCTGAATGGAATAAAAGTCCATTTGCTTTATTTCTAAAAACTTTTTAGGTTTTTGTATTCTACACCAGTAAGTTTGGAAAGTCCGATTCTGACCAGCCTTGATCTTTAAACTTCCTCAAACTCATGATAGAACTGTTCATCTTCTCGTGGGTCTCATTGAAGCAGTCACAAACACGGTATTGAACCACTTGTAAATTATGTTGCTTTGATGTATAAATGTACAAAATGCAGACAATACATAATTGACCAATATTGCTTTTATTACTTACCACATCTATTAGTAATTCTCGCTGGTATCCTGAGTTGCAATATGGATAAGCTGAAGTTCCCACATTTAAGTTCTGACTAACAAGAGGGTGCAGCAATAGTCTTTATAATCCAATTTAAACCCTGAATTAAAGAAACTTAAATCATGCAAATATACAGGCAGAAAGGGGACACGCTGAATGTTGTAAATATTAGTTACTACAAGGAAATCATTTAGCACGTTTTAAATGGTTGAAAAAGATCCCATATTTGTCCGTAAGTAGGTATTTTAAAGATCAAAACATAACAAGGGACAAAACTGTCAGATCTATTTTATCCTTGATGTTAATCTAGATTTTTTTTAAATTCCAGAAATGCTGGCTGGATCGATGCTGCTTGCTTGGTGATATTTGGTGGCAACATGCCATCATCAGTCTTTACATCTAAAGTAGTGGGTGTGGGGGGTGTGTGTGTCTGGGGGTCCTTCCCGGAAAATGTTGTATAAAGTACATGCGATTTCACCTCCACCATTCTTTTAGGGGCGGAGATTTTTTTATGGGTAGACGTGGAAATGCTTACTTGAAGTGGCAGCTTGTATGTGATATTAAGAATCTCGTAGGCCGTTGTGTTTAAAATTAGTGTTTATATCATTATTTTCAGTTTACATATCCAAAATGTTTTATTCGTTCAACGCAGTCATATTTGTTCATAACTTTATTATTAGTAAACCTGAGAGTTACTGAATCCAAGCTGGATCCGAGCAAACAGTTACCAGAACACACCCTGTCAAAATAAAAGTTCCCGGATCCTGTTCCGGCAGGGTCCAGCTCAAATTAAGTCCTGTTTATGTCTAAATTTAATGTAATAATCTGAAGCTATGTTGTAAATTAAACTGGTTAATAGTGGAAACTTCCTGTTGTAGCTGAGTGGCTAAGCTAATTTTTGCTAATGCAAATAAATTTGTAGGATTTAGAATAATAAAATAATTTTATAAGTTGATGTATAAATTGCCTTAAATGTCATATATAACTAAATTATTTTACATGTGTATGTCTTAGGACTTAGTTCATGGTATTTAAATTTGTTTGCTAGCAGCAACAGAGCAGCTAGCTGGTTGCTAGCCGTTAGCAGCAAACAGCTGGTATCGTGTTTAGCTGTTAGGATTTGTTTTGCTGACTGGGTGGTTTTGGGTGAACTGTTTCAGACAGTATGTTGGCATTCGTATTACAGAGTTGCAATCCAAAGTGAAGTCATGCACCCACACCTTCCTTTGTGACCAGGTGAAGAGTGGATGCTGACAGAAACATGTCCGGGCCTGCAGCTCGTGGACAACTTCTCCACGACGGTTCCCAACACGTTTTCCAGCCAGCCTCACCTGACATCCCCACCACTAAAACACGTTCCTCTTCAGTCGTAGACAAGGTGCCGGACCACACAGACAGCGAGGTTTTCAACCTTTAAACTTCCACAAGGAGGTTTTCTACGTTTGTTTCTAACAGTGGAGTTCAGAGAAAGGAGGAAGCAGCACGGTAGGCAAACGAAGGCGTCTCAGACTGAAGCAGCCGAAGAGTAAACCTCGTTCCTTTTTATTCTTCAGTCCTCTGCTGCCTCCGGGTTCTTCTTTTACTAAACTCTTTACACCATTTAATGTCTAACTGAGACACTGACTTTCTGGAGTTTCTCTGTTTTTCTTTTTACTTTGTTTTCTTTAGTTTTACTCTTTATTATGGTTTTGAAATGATAAAAAACATTTTTGGGTTAAGATGCATATTTGCAAGCTGGAAAAAGAAAGTACCTCGAACGTTATATAAACCATTTAAATTGCATGTAATAGTTTCAGAGATAAAGTAGTTCACAGAAAGAACTATTTAAATGATGGGTAGCCTAAAACCTTTTTATGTTCAAATCAAATGCAGATTAATTTACTTATTTTAACACTTTTTAACAGATTACGTGCCTGGCAAGCCCACCTCCTAATTTCCAACATTTTTCACGTTTTAATTATAGTAGGAGAGGAAAAAGATAAGGTTTTTATCTGTAAACTTCCATCAGTCTGCAATGATACAGTTGCTGGTAAAATAGTTTTAGGGATCTCCACTGTGGATTATCCATCTCTCATCAGACCGTGCTCCACCTCTCCAGGCTCTCTTCCACCTGCTCCCCACTCTCACTACAGAGCAGCGTCATCTGCAAACATCATAATCCAAGGGGCGTCCTGCCTGATCTGTCAGAGAGGTGAAATACTATAAAACTTGAATTCATATTCTGTAGAAAATATCAAAACTAAAACAAAGCCAGGTCCACTGAATCTTTGTTTTACAAACTGGTCTAGAAACATTTAGACAAAGTTATTCAGCCAGAGTTTTAGTTGATATTGTGGTCAAATGATGCACTTCAGACATAGTTTCACACAAAGTTTGTCAATAAAATATTTTTCTACAGCACTTGAATCTGAGATTATGTCCCTGGTATTTCAATCTGTTTAGAGGTTTTTGTTAATCTGCCCCAGTTTCTTCAGAAATGTTCTTAGTTCTTAGAATTCTTCAGTGCTCCTGTCCCTTGACATCTACCGTACGTCTCTTTATGTCTGTCTTTTTGTTTTTGATTGTCTTTGTCTGCCTCTCTGTCTTTCTGTCTTTCTTTTCTGTCTCTGCCTCTCTGTCTTTCTGTCTTTCTTTTCTGTCTCTGCTTGTCTGTCTTTCTGTCTGCATGTCTTTCTGTATTTTTTGTCTGCCTGTCTGTCTTTCTTTTCTGTCTGTCTGTCTGCCTGTCTGCATGTCTGCATGTCTTTTTTGTCTGCCTGTCTGTCTTTCTTTTCTGTCTGTCTGTCTGTCTGTCTGCCTGCCTGCCTGCCTGTCTGTCTGTCTGTCTGTCTGCCTGCCTGTCTTTCTGTCTGTCTGTCTGTAACAGAGCATCACAGCTCTTTGTTCTTTAACATGAGCGTTGGCGGGCGACATGCATTCCTGGATGGAATGCTTCCTTTTCAAACTGTGGAGTGAAGAAGACCGTCCTGATTTTTATCTCTGTGTTTGTCAGGAGCTGGTTTGACCTGCCTGTGATTGACAGATGCCAATCATCCTGAATCGGCGCTCGTCTACCAAACCCAGAGTACTGGAATATCGTTCCTGGAACGTTGGTCCACGGTACCATAAACCCTTTGGGGACACCTTCACCCACCTTCATCACGGATTTAAGGGACTAGCTGGGTCAACTCCTTCCTGGATTTATTTGGGAGTTGTTTTTGGTTCTTGGACAGGACCGACAGATCTCTCAGGCTCAGATCAGCAGCTACACCTCGAAGACCCGTGAACGATCGGACCGTACATCAGCAGCCATGGAGTCTGTGGCGGCCAGAATGGCCATGGTGACCGACTCTCCAAACCCGTCTCTCAGATCCAGGACCACCGTGACCACAGATGAGGACTCCTTCATGAGCACAGCCAGCCTTCCCTGCAGCCACTTCCTGTCAGAGAACGCCATCGCTGTGGGTGAGTGTTCGGCTCCTGAAGGACTGGATGTAGAGTCTGTCTGGGTGAAGTGTGACTCTAGTGCTCTGCTCTCTGGTTTCATTCGTCTCGTTGGTTTTTCCTTGAACAAGTTACATTTTGCCACTTCTGTAATTCTTCCAAACCCTTCCTGACACTGAGCGACACAATCAGACCCCCCCAGAGCCACCAGCAGTGCTGCTGCAGCCCTCCCCTTCTGAACCAGCTGATTGTGAGCTGTTCCACGTGTGCTCGGCGTGTTTCTCTCGGTCTCCTGAAGAAAGCTTCTCAGCAGCTGAAAATATGACAGAGCTGTTCGGCTGCACAGAAGGTCCGACTGAGTTTTATTAAACCAAACTAGAAAGCAGTTCGTGCATAAACATGAACCTTCTTGTTATTCAGACGGCTGTCAGGTGGAGCGCCACGGCTCTAATGGAGAACAGATAAAAAGTTTGTTTCTGGAGCTGAAAGCTGCAGGAACGATGGAGGTAACGGAGGAAGCCGGTCTCAGCACGGGCGCCGAGTCTTCTCACTTCAGACGTTCCTCTGCGCGGCTGCAGAACTGTTGGGTGTTTCAGCAAATAGAGAACTGTCGTCATTAAATATGAACGCCTAGAGTTCAGATAAAAATAATTATAGACCGTTGTTTAGCTGGGGTGTCCTTATGGGGGTGCAACAGGTCTCAGACAGAAGCAGGTCCACAGCCTGGTGGTTCGAGTTCTTAAAGTTCTGAACGTTTGGATGGGAGACGGATGAACCGGCAGGGCGGTGGGGGGCGGGTGGGGTCCCTGGCAATTCTGTTAGCTACTAGCATAACAGTGACACAGAACTCTCTTGATCATACTCCTGCAGAAGTTGGGAGTCCTTGAGGGTCCACGTCGGGTCTCTTGCAAAGTGGACACCCAGGGACTTGATGTCATGCACTGTCTCTACTAGTGTTGTAGAACTCGAGTCCGGTCTTGGTCATGACTTGGTCTTGGACCCCAAAAGTCTTGGTCTTGACTTGGTCTCGGGTTAGGTGGACTTGACTACAACACTAGTCTAACTTCCTCTCCATTTACGTGGAGAGTTGGGGTGGGGGGTCGTTGTCCAGGCTCTCCTGAAGTCCATCAGGATCTCTTTTAGTCTGCGCGGTGTCCACAGACGACATGAAACCACATGTAGAAGAACTTCAAGACCAAAGTCAGTCCAGAAAAACTCAGTTCAAACTGTAAAGACAGACAGACGAAGCGTCTTCGCCTTCTGTCTTTGTTCAGAGCTGAAACAAACAGTTACGATGGAGGAGCTGCCATGAGTTAATTTTATGTACTTTTGTGTGTTTTTTGTTTAAATCTGCAAAATGTTTGTATTGATTGGTTTGCACGGAGGGGAGGGACTTAAAACGAGGGGTGTGGTCACGGTGCAAGAGGCGGGATGCAAGAACATGTAAACTCCACCCAGAAAGTTCAGGAGGAGAACCTGTGATCTGCTCACTGTGAGGCGACGGCTCTAACCACTGTACCACTGTGCCACCCTCTGTCTGACTTGTGGAACAATGACAGAACATTTGTTGACACAAACCTGAATAACGTTCAGAATCAATGAGGTCTTGGACCACAAATCAGAGCTCATCGATCGTTTGACCTTCAGTCTCGTCAGGATTTCCATCAGTCTGAAGTTATAGTGTGTGTGTGTGTGTGTGTGTGTGGGGGGGGGGGGGGGGGCTCAGTTGGTAGAGATGTTGCCTCTCAGTGAGAAGGCTGGGGGCCTTTCTGGGTGGAGTTTGCATGTTCTCTCCGTGCTGCGTGGGTTCTCTGGTTTCCTCCCACAGATCAAAAACATGCATGTTAGACTGACTGGTAACTCCAAATTGTCCCTGTGTGTGTGTGTGTGTGTGTGTGTGTGTGTGTGTGTGTGTGTGTGTGTGTGTGTGTGTGTGTGTGTGTGTGTGTGTGTGTGTGGAGAGAGGGAGAGAGAGAGAGAGAGAGAGAGAGAGAGAGAGAATGATTGTTTGTCTCTGTGTCCCTGTGATGGACTGGAGACCTGTCCAGGGTGTCCCCTGCCACTTGCACAGTGATGGCTGGAAATGGGCACCAGTGACTCGTGTGACCTGAAAAGGAAGAAGCAGGTAAAGATGATGGATGGATGGATGGATAGTTGGATGGCTGGGTGGATGGATAGATGATGATGGATGGATGATGATGGCTGGATGATGGATGATGATGGATGGATGATGATG